CCCAGTTTTGATGCAGAAGGCAATAGCGAGGGGGGCTGCGGAGAGGGGGGGGAGCTGGTCGAGCTTTCCTCTCAGGTATATTTCAGACCTTGCGTTGAGGAATTGTTTGATATTGCAGGTAGGCAAATGTTAGTCTCCTGGTGGCCACAGTGTCTCAGAGAAATGAATTACAGATTCTGTGATATAACTAAAACCTAGTGAAATTCACAGGTTCTCCAACTCTGAATTTTTTCAGAGGAAGCCTTCCAATTGTGATGCAAATGTGTTGAAAACTTTTGTATTGAACAATTAGCAACTGAACAAGCTTTTTAAAGGTTGCAAGCCTTTCCAGGGGAATGTGCAGGGCTGCTTTATTGCTCCTGGTAGGAAAACCCTGGATACTGTAGTTAAACAGATTGCAGATCTGCATTGAACATTTTCAGCACAGGTTTTCTGTGTAGTCTGTTGATGTGATGTAAGAAAAATAATCAAGTTTCATGAGAAACAAGGGACTTAAAGTGTATAAGCAGACACTCCCAGTATCAAAGAATGCAAAAATAGATGAAAAGCAAATATTTGTGAAGTTAGCCTGCTAAGGCATAATTTCATTTTCCTGATTTTGAAAGCATAAGATCAGACACTTTTTGATAGCAAAGTAGATGAGTTTGGAACAAAGTGACTGAAATAAAATGTTACTTTCTGCTTGAGATCTGGCCTAAAAGTACATCAATCTTATCTTCTATTTGGTGACAAAAGATGTCTTGATAAATATAATTTACAGTACATCCCTGAGGCTTTAGAGAACATTTTGGTAAACCAAGCAAACTTTTAGACTTATTTTTTTTTCCATCTGTACTAGCAAACGCTACGTCTATTTCAAAATATGAGCACTATACACACAGAGAAAAAAGTCTTACCTGATGCCTGACAATTATAGTTTCTTTTACATCAGGGAAAGCTAGTTTGTTTTCAAGGTCATTTATTTATTTTAATTTTTTATTAATACAGAGAGTAAAAATGAAATAATTTCAGATTTGCAGCTTCTTACTGAAGCCTTATGAAATTGTTGCCATAGATATCTTGCATTCCTTCTAGACAGTCAGAGGCCCAAGGAAATTAAGCATGTGAGAATAGTGGATTGGAGTCAAAGTTATTAAAAGTCAGAAAGTTTGGTAATTCCTCAACAAGAATGGATGATCTTTAATATATTATAGTGAAACCAAGATGTTTGTTTAATACACAAGTCCAAATCTTGGTCTTTCTAATAAGAAATGTATCTTTTAATGAAATTTAACTGGGGAGTAGTTTAAACTTGTGCTAACATCATAGTCTCCTATTGTATCGTAATATCACTACTTTATATTTCAAAATATCATGAAGGAATTATAAGGCATGTTAAAGCTCAAAGGCCTCTAAGGAATGTTTCAATAATTAAGCAGATCCCAGACTTATGGATGGATTAGTTTTAGAATTAAGTTGATTTCTGCTTCATAATATGACTGAAGCTACCTGTGACAGCCTGGCTGCTTTTATCATTTTGATTTTGCTTTTTTATTTTGACTTGTTGTTTTAATTGCTGAAGGGCATTTTTTTCTTCATGACTGTCTGTTGTAATCTACAGATCATGGAATCATCTGGTACACCCTCAGTGACCTTAATAGTAGGCAGTGGTCTTTCATGCTTGGCCTTGATCACGCTAGCAGTTGTCTATGCAGCGCTATGGAGGTATGTAATGGGTTGAAACAGCTGAAATGTGAATATGTAGTTATATTTAGCTGAATTAAAATTTAAAGAGAGCATTAGATGCAACATTTATTATATAGAAGAGAAAAAAAAATGTAGTGCATGTTTTGGTGCTTAAATTTATTGATGTGATTTAATAGTTTTACTCCTTTGGCCTGCTGTTGATGGTATAGCCCACTATCCTCTTTCCCCTCTTCAGTGTGAATGGTGTTGTTCTGTTAGTGGGGTATTCATGGTGCTAATTCATATTTTACAGGAGTCTTATATATGATATACTTCATCCGAGGCTTCTGGCCTATAGCTCTGACTGCTTTTCCTCCATTTACATTTTAAACCAAAACTGCTATATGATAAAAATAACATATCAGAGTGGAACATCAGATATTGGAGGTCTAGGGAAGTTGAGTCAACTGGTTCTGGGTTTTTCTACTTCAGTTGTAAGTTTCTTTGAAGACTACAAAATTAAGTAGTCTCAAGTAGCGTGATGGTACATTCCAGTATCAGGCCTTCTTTCCATCCTGAGTTTACTATAATGAAATATTATATTGAATTATAAGTGCAGCAGATATTCATGGAGTAAATTAATCTGAGAAGTGATGCAAAATAGCATAATGTCTTAGTGTAGAAGAAATAACAACATAAGAGGAAAAGTCATGCAAAGTAATATTTTTTTAAAGTGAACACAGATTTCTCATTTAACATTTTCACATAATGAAAAAAAAAAAAAAAACAGGCTCTTAAGCAAGTAAAAAGAAAGACAAGTAGAAAATAATAAATTTTAGAGTAAGATAAAATCACCTAATAAAATTTTGCTTTTAGATGCAGCTTGGTAAATTTAAACACTTTTCTCTTTAACTCACTTATGTAGCCACAAAGACTTACAGGAATATATATATATATATAAAAATTTAAATATACACTATCTAGTTACATTAGCTATAATAAAAAGAGTATTACAATTATCAGTTCTTTTCTGTCAAGGCTAAGAATGAGCATATTTCAGGATATTATTCATATCTGAAGAATTATAGTGTTATTTTTGCACTCCCTGACATATATTTAGTGCTTGGATGGAAATGCTGTCATGCTTAGTAGAACTGGTCTTCTCCATTATTTAAATTAGATATAAGGAATATTTTTTTTTTTTTTTTATGATGAGGGTGATGATGCATCGAAACAGGATTCCCGGAGAAGTTGTGGATGCCCCATCACTGGAAGTGTCTGAGGCCAGGTTGGGTGGAGCTTTGAGTAGCTTGATCTAGTGGAAGGTGTCTCTGTCCATGGCAGGGGGATTGGAAGGAGGTGATATTTAAGGTCCTTTCCAAACCAAACCAGTCTATGATTCTAAAATTATAGTAATTTCCAGGTGGCAAAAAATGTGTATGTGATGTGTTATGAATCTAGAGTGGGTTCTGTATCCAGATGAAGAAAAAGTAACTCATACAGAACTCAGTGTTCTGTCAGTGAGATATTTTGAAAGTGATAGGACAATTGAATGGGCTGACATTTGCGTCATTAAAATTTGCCTTCAACGTGTTTCTCAGGAGCACACAGTAAACAACTGTATGGAGAACATAGACACCAAAACATACATGTATTTATGTTTGTTTTTATAAATGTAGGGGTAGGGAGAAATTTGACATTTTGATCCTGTGTCTGGTTTTATACTTTGGAACACCCACCTTCACTTTGAATGGCAGGGTCTGTTTAGAAGAGATAAGAGGTAGAGGTATTCTGGTCCAAAGAAGTCCTGTGTGAGCATTCTTTTATGGTTGGCTGATTTGAACCCCCCAACTGAAAATTCAAACTGAAAAATAAATTCAGTGTCAGTTAAATATTCACCCTTCCCTTCCCTTCCCTTCTCTTCCCTTCCCTTCCCTTCCCTTCCCTTCCCTTCCCTTCCCTTCCCCTCAATCAATAGTGGGCTGGCACAAAACCTAAAACCTTCCTAGCTTAAGTCAATGCTATGAGTTCCTGCTTGCACTGTATTTACTCAGCCACTAAGATCCTTTGCAGCCCACAGACAATCAGTGTTGGGAACTGGCGTGGGTGAATCAATAGTTAACTGGGAAAGTAGCAGCATACTCACTATGTAGATAAAGGCACTAGACTTGCTGTGTTTGTTTGCAAACACATAGAACTAGCCTTAACATTGTTATATTGAACAATATATTGTTATTTATTGAAAAATGTGAATTGTGTTATCAGGGTTGTTCTGTCTTCTTAGCTAAAAAATGTATATGCTGTATTACTTCCCTGATAACTGAGCAGAAAGGACTACAATTCTTTTCTTGTCCAAAGCTCAGCATTTCTCATGGGTTCAGCACCCTTTGTTACAGCCTCCTCAGAGTGTCAGCTATGGCTGTACAGCTCAGGAGAAGGTAGCAGTATTTACCAAGTTCCAGTGAGAAGCATAAAGTATAGGTGATAGAATATATAAACATATGGCATGGTCTTCAGAGGAACTGAGAGCTCTTAACTTTGATTTACTTTAGTAGTAAACATTTACTCTGTAAGCAGCTCTGAAAACCAAGTCAGTAAGGTACTTTTCTTGAAACTATAATCATTCCCTTTCTGTCCTGTAGCATATAAAAGGCTATATATAGAAAAATGAGAACATTTGCATCTTGTAAGCAAATAGGTGATAAGTTTTTGACTTTTTCATCCTAAACACGCTTGTAAAATTACTCTAAGCTTGAAAGAGAGACTGTGTGATGCTAACTGTTACCATTTAATCTTTCTGTACAAAGAACTATTTTTGGCATTAGTCCTTATGTATTACAGTATTATTGTTTCTTCATACAAATTATATTGTAAATGTGGTTGAACTTCAAGACTAATGTTGTCATTACCCCAGTAATGTGTTTCAAAATGCACTGCCATATTATCATCAACCAACCTGCATCTTATTTCTGCATTGTGGCCCAGATTTTCTGTTTATGTATGTCATCATATTTTTGCTGAAGTTACTTATTTTGAGTGGTCTGTGCCAGATGTGGGTATTCCCAGGGTTGAGCAGGGAGTCTAAGTTCCTGACGTGAATGCATGTAAGCCTGTTATTATCAGTATGGTGTTAGAATGTTGTTGTCAGCAATTTTTAGATGTATTGATGGATTACTTTTGAAATATACCAAGATACTAAAAGGGAATTTCAGGATATCCTTCAGAATATCATAGTTCCTGTGTTTGTAATGGAATAACTCTGTGATACTCTTTTTGAGCACTTGAAAAAGAGTGATTGCTTTTCAGAGTATCTCCAATACTTAATGCAAGAATTGCACCAAAGCTTTGTATGACTTACTATTAGTTTTCCTTTTATAAAAGTTGCACCCTCTTTCTGTTTATTTGAACAGGTACATCAGATCTGAGAGGTCAATAATTCTAATCAATTTCTGCCTGTCTATTATCTCATCAAATATCCTTATCCTGGTTGGACAAACTCAGACACATAACAAGGTATGATGATAGATTGTATTAAACTTGCATTTAAATATCGATATCTTTGTTTTATTTGTGTTTAGCTTAAACTAATTAGAACCATTTAGTCCTATACTCATAGGAGTTGACATTTTTGGTAAAATATTAACAGACATGGGAAAATATTTACTGTCTTTCATAGTCTTTTCTTCCCCTCCAAAAATTCCTTTTGGTATTGTTCCCTCTGGATAAGCTGTGTTCTCTGTGGTAGACTTGTATGTTTTATAACTAAATTTCAAAGCAAAGAAGTTCAAAGACTCAACATCAAAAGCACAAGTTCTAGTTCATTATAATAGTTGTAATAGGATTGTGCTACAATGTTTTTGTCTTTTTATTAACACACTGGTACTCAAAAGGCAAGTAAAAATTGCTTAGAAGTTAGAGTACTACTCTTGAAAATGTGCAGAAACAGACATCATAACAAGCTATAGAACTGTTAGATGTCTGACATGTAGCACTAAGAAAGTAATAATCCTGCATACCTTAGTTGGTGCTATATTGCTGATTTATTACTAATCTGTTCTCAGAGTTTCTGAACATAGTCATCATTTGTTCCTCTCTTGTACAGCAGGGCTATATCAGTTTTGAGGCATCAGCCAGTGCTTAGTGGTGATGGGCAACTTTCAGAAGTGACAATAAGTGGTTGCTTCAAATTAAGGAGAGCTACATGATAGCTTGGAATAGAAATTAGGATGTAATTGGTGAATAGGGTAATATGTGATAGAATGCTGTTAAGTTATGGAGACAACAAGTATCTGTAAAGTAATCCTTTATTTTTTTCAGTATCTAATGAAATATGGTTATCATCTGCCATAGGATAACTGGTGTTTCTGCAACACATCTATAGTACAGCATTTATTCTTTTCAAATGAGTGCTTAGAAATGTAGCTGCTGAAGTCTCATAAATTCAATGCGAGTCACAGGCTGTACTTTGTAAAACATACTCAAACCATACTCATTTCCAACACAAAATTTAATAAAGTTATTAAAATTAAGATATTAATATGCTTCAGATTTTTGAACATATGTAGAGGTACAAATGAGCAAAATGTGTTTGCAGAAGAAACCAACATGACCCTCAGATTTTATTCAGGGGGAAAAAAAAGTCAAAAATGTGCAAGTAACTTCAGAGTAGTAGAGTGCAGAAGGATTAAACCTCTCTAGAATGTCAATACAAACACGCATAATCATATATACTATTTTATTATATATTTCAAGAAGAAATATGATTCAGTAGCTGGAAGTTCCTGGGGATATTGCTGTGGTGAAATCAGGGTTTGAGGGCATCAGAACAGCTGTGTTTGATCACGTGCTCCCTAGGTATGCTGGCAACCTTTCTCTGATGCTTGACTCATGGAACTCTGAACTAAAACATACCCTTAATCCATTCCTTTCTTTTAATCTTAATGTCCTTGAGCTCCCTCATTTCTACTTCCTGAACTCCTGGAAGTACAGAGTTATTGTATTAACTTCTTTCTGAGAACAACAAATCCTAACAATGGAGATGTTCAGAGGAAATAATTGGCAGAAAAAAGAACGCATTGCAAAGTTTACAATTTGAATATATGGCCTGAAAATTACTCTAAAGCACCACTTTTTACTGTATTTTTCTTCTTTTGAGTCCACATCTCGCTTTTCATACATGTACTACCTGGGAACGTCTAGTCAGGGAGTACCTCTGATGGATGAAAGGCAGAATACATACAAGGAAGATATTCCTTGTTACACAAAAAAAAATCTTTTTATCACTATGCCCACTGATATATGAATATATTGTATCTCCAAGTGGCTAGCCTGTGAATGCACCATCAACAAAACAGCCAGGTAAAGCCAGTGTTTAGCAAAAGCTTGTTCAAGTTAAAGCAATCAGACCCGTCAGGGACATGTTTTGGCATCAGATGTGTTTGAATTCAAGTTCTGAATTTTTTATTTTCAGAGGTCATATAGGACCAGAAAAAGCCAGTGTCTGACTTTTAGTACATAGACCTAGATGGTAACAATGACATCTGTAGGAAAAATGTTTTAATTTTGCTAAGCTAAAAAATTAAATCTGTAAATGGGAAGTTTAGGAAGAAAATCAGATTCCTACCTAAGGTTTAAGATTAAAAACATTTTAGATTTGTTTCTAAATTTGTTTTATTTGTTTCTAGATTTGTTTTATTGTTTACTAGAAATGAAACCATTTTTGTTGTTAGTGCTTGTTTGAAAACTTTGGGAGAAATCTTAGGAATATTTTATTAAGAAAATGTAATATTCAAGTCAGCAGAAATTGTTTCTGGAATAAAGGCTGAGGTGGTGTCTTATTGAAGGAAGATGGGCTCAGGTATTTTTCATGTCTTGGAGAAAATTTGAGAAATATGTTTTGCCATATTTGAGCATTCATTTACTCTGTTCCGTTCTCATTCTTATATTCATACTGTTGTCATATTATGGGGGCACCTAGTTAATGTACATATGATGCTGCTGATATTCACAAAAGTTGAAGAAGGCCTCTTTTTTTTCCCATGCTTTACTTTAGCATTGCTTCTGAGTTTAAATTGTCTTCAGCTCTGTATTTGTGTGTGTTCCCTTTGAGAATAGGTTCTGGTAAATGTCAACAAGGTTGCATTCCAGTTTAGAGTTGAACAGTGTGTAAATTAAGCATATTGAAGATGTGTATACACCAAACAGCATATTGCCAGTCTGTTTGCAGTTTGTGGTTCCCTCTGCATTAAACACTGCACCAACTACTTTTATTCATTTTATTGTTATTCAATCTCCAGAAAATTTCTGTGGTGTAGACCCATTGACAACTGTGGCAAAGAAAAATGTATTGAGTCTCTTGATCCGGATAAGTGCAAGTTTTCTATTATTTTCTTTCTGCTTTTTTTTAAATCATAGACACTTAGCATGTTAGGTTTAGTTCTGCTCTTTGAAATCTGAGTATATACTTGTTGTTTTTACAAGTGTCTCTCGGTGAAAAATAACTGAGTTTGAATATTGCGTTCTCATTGGTTCAGCTAAGTTCTGCTTTTTTTTTTTTTTCAGTAAAAAAGGTGATTGTATTTCCCACAGGCAGCAATGGACAAAATATTTACAGAGGACATAAGAAGCAAATTCTGTCAAGCTACCATAGCTTTTCCATTTCTAATATTCTCTGTTAAAAAGTTGTTTTATTTTTCTCCAGTTTCAGTAACGCAGGGATACCAATGCTAGACCAGAGGTCTAGGCCATGGTGGGGTTTTAGCTTGTTTTAGAATGGTTTGTAATGGAAGGAATGACGGGGAGTATGTTTTCTCTTGGAAGATTTGGATTGGGATAGCAAAAAAGCCTGTTGTCAACAGGAAAGCCTTGCTCCTTTATTCCTTTGCCAAATGTGTTGTGTATTTTATTGAAGGGCACAGCTGAGAAATGTTCTGCTTTTTTTCCCGGTGTTTCTCCAAACCTTTCAAAATGCAGAACTTCATTCAAAGTCCTTTTAATGTTTCAAACTGTGCAAGAGATTTCTGTTTTGTCAGATCCTGTTTTGAAATATAGGTCACTGAAGGCTGAATTTATAAGAATATTGTTAAATTAATTATGTGTCTGTTTAAATATACTTGCTGTTACACTAAGTATGAGAAGCATATTAATTTACTTTGGTATTTCTGTCTGTCTTGTTTTCTTCTCAGTGTTAAATGTTAGACATATAATCATAGTTAAATTTGAGAACATGCAATTGATACACTGTAGATAGCCCTTTAACAGCTGAATTTAATAGTAACATTGAAATTAATCTTGTGAATTAAAGAAAGGTAACACTTTTCATGTATAACCTGGCTGTTCAAGTATCTATTATTTCACAAATACTATGAGATGTCCCTAACATCTACAAATGTATTACGTATTTACTTTGAAGTGACTGACAGTTTTCTTTGGGGAAATATCTGTCAGGATTTGTAGGTTTCCCTGTAATGTAGCTCTTGCTATATTATGTTTCCTAATGTTCTTCTGGCCATCATGAAAAAATATTTGTATTGCTTCTATATGTGGACCTTTAACACTTCAGTCTAAATCTTTACAATGTTTCTGATCTGATTTAATTAATAGATTCTCTACCCCCAATAAGTTATTAATTCATATTATTTAGAGTTTTTTTATAAATTCTTTCCTTTTGCATACATTCAGAAAATGCCTTGGTTTTTTTTCACAGTTCTGCCTAAATAAAAACACATTAGCTATTTGATGTAAACAATTCTTGTTTACCTATTTTTCCTGTGAAAAAAAAACAAAGATTAATAAATTTTAAAATAAACCACAAGGCCGGCCGCATATGGGCAAAAGTTAATTATTTTCTGTATTAGCTGTTTCTGAGTGGTCTTAAGAGTTTGTTGCTGGAGTTTGGGTCACTTGTGAGAAACAGGCAGATTTTTAGAAATGTTTTAAGACTGTAGGTTTTGTTAGCCAGGTTTATATGTCCCTACCAAGGGAAGAAAAGGGAAGATGTTAAGGGAAAAGGCAAGATTTAGCAACCCTGATATTTTGTGCCATCCCTGTTTAATTGCAGTATTCAGTTTATTATGCTTACTATTACATTTCGGAATTTGTCTCTTAGACCATACCTGAAAGGATATGAAAAAGCCATGTCTGGCCACCTAAAGAACACAACATAAACAATCAGTAGTCTTGATAAAGTCATCGCAACAAAGCAAAATCCCCATAAAATTATCTAGATAATAAGATTATAATGTTCACTAAATAAGCCAAGTAGACAAAAATAACCCCACTTTAGGTTGGTTTGTTTTTCTTTTTTTTTTTTTTTTAAATAGAGGTTCTAGGCTGAAAGAAGCAAATAGAAGTGGATAGGAGTTGAGAAGCCACAGCATCCCATTCCCATAGCATTCTAAAGCAGCTGACTGTGTAACTAGAACTCCCTCAGGTTTTAAGAAACAGTGGGTGGCAGGATCCCCTGAGAACTCTGCAAACGTTCAGGTGGTACTAATGCTGCCTCTAACCATGTG